CAACAGACACACTTAGCGAATTATATAAAGTAGGATATATAGTAGGATAGGGTATTTATTTTCAAGGAAGAGAGGAAAAGATAAGAACCTACAATTAAAGGCGTAAGCGCCGAATTACGCTGATACCATTTCAGCTGCCATTTTGATTCTGTGTCAAACTTCGTGACAGGAAAATATTATTTGTTTCAAGGAGTGGGGAATTAGCCAACTATTACAACCTTGTCAAAAAAGGAGGGGAGGTCCGGCATTAGTCGACTGGTATCTATACATAACACGTTAATATAATAATCCAAATATATATAACGCGCTAGGTGTGTCCGTTGGTTTGTGCTTGTGTGTATGACCAGAAATTTATAGCTACTGCTCCTCCAAAATTAGAGCGTTCAAGTTTGACAGGAGTACAGAGAGCGGTATAGAAATACTGATGGTTTGCTGTACGACTACCGACTGAACTCGAACTCCACCGTCCGTGGGGGGGATCCTGCAAGTTCGGATTTTGATAGATGATCGCCTACAGTTCGCGTCATTCCACACTGGCTAATCAACTATGTGTGTAACGCTTCTTTAACTCTCTCTCTCAACGACTTGACGTCTCTTAACAGTTTGAGGGCTCATGCTAATACTGTCATGGAGATGATTGGGGAGGGAGCAAAGCAGGGAGGGAGCGACCAAGAGATAGCCCATGTCTACAGTCAGAAAAGCCATGAGTTTGCCTCTACCAAGGCAAAATCATGCGCTGCAATTCCTATAGCAATATCAGATTCAGGTTTGAGCCGCCCGAATTCTGTGGACGGTGTGCGAGGGCTACCGTAAGCGACCTTGTCTGGAGAAGTCATTACAGTTCGATCAAGAATTCAGATTTGATGGGGATCTAAGTCCTGTGCCCTGAAGGGACACGCTAGAAAGGAATAACTGCCAGACGCAATGCGATAGGTGCCGAGCCCTACTACAGGGGGTAAACACCAAACGAAACAGTGTGGCTACAGCAAGCGAAGATACTACATCCATGTAACGCACTGCAGGCTGGCTGCTCCGACTACGCAAAAGATGAGTTCTATCTGGATCTTGACGGATCAGATCAATCGCGGAGCCTACACGCCGGGTGATCTGAGCGGCCACATCGGCAGCGAAAGGGGTGTTCTTCTCCTTCTTCTGCTAGCATTAACCAGGATCCGCTACTCTCCTCTCCTCCTCCGCTTCCTTCCAACTACGGCACCTTCTGCCGTCACCTTAACATCGGCAAAATCCATCCGAATCGAGTCGTGCCACCTCTTCTATGAGGCTCCCGTGGTCGCTTATCCTGGCCCTCGAACTCCA